CTACGTGGTGCGGGCCACTGACAATGTGAGTTTTCAGCTGTACATTTTGGTCTGATCCATATTTGTGGAAGGCACTGTTAAGAGAAGCTGTAGTCAAATCATTCCGGTGCAGTGCAGGGTTTTCCTAGAGCGTTTACTTATCAGGGAAAGAGACCCCCCCATGTGTGCAGTGTGCACGCCGGTCTACAGTGGTAACTGATCTTAATTGACAGTTCGAGTAATAACATTGTTGTCAACCACTGCTTGATTTCCCCCATAACCTCGGCAGAGGGCAAAATCGACCAATGATTGACAAAAATAACGGACGTCGCATGGCTGATGCTCTGACTCGCTCCAACTTCCCAAAAGTGCGGCAAAGTGATGTTCGGCACATGTATAGCGCCCTCATTTGGCACATGAATTCACTTCGTCAACCTCCTGCTTGGGTACTTAATAAGTTTTAGGGGACGTGCTTGATTTGCTTAATTTTGGCACTATCGGTTAAAGGCCAGAAACTATGATGATGCCGATTATACTCTGTTTGAATGGCTGAATGATTTACTCATTATTACTAAACTTTCGAGTAAAACTGCTGCTCCAAATCCTCCTGTTCAATGCTGGTCCAGTTAACCATTCTAAGATTTGCTGTCGAAACAGGAGGACCCCGAAGTACTTTGCACCAACATAGCAGACAACGGTAAAGCCTCACCGAACTGCCTGATTCCATCTTGGCCAGACTCAACCGACATGGCCATAGTGGTCAAGGCAGGACCTGTGTCTGGTATCTTGATCACCGTCCATGCGGACTTCTTTCACGCGGTATGACGTTGCTGTTATCATGTGCCAGTCAGTGGTTCGGTTTGTACCCTCTCTCCCTCATTCGGTTCGGTGACGTCGCTGAGTCGTGATTTTAGGGAGATGGGGGTAAAAGCACTGAGTCCATTATGAACCAAAATGAGCGATGGGGTTAGCGGTTGCAATTAACGCGGGAAAACGAAGACCTGTAAGCAGGGAAATTATCAGTCTTATCACAACCATCTATACGTCACACTTAGTAATTGGGAAACTAATGTAGCCACATTAGGATAAGGCACTTAAAAACTAAAAATCGAGTCTGAGGTTGTTAGTGATTGGAAAAAAATGTGTCATTTTTCGACAAAAATGATGTTCTCCAACAGAACACCGAGACTGCTTTTCACATCCGAGCTAGTATCCCATTTTCCCAGAAGGTCGTAATTGCAAAGCCGTTTACGGGAGCGCCGACCTTCCCCAACATTGTGACATTGATGGCGACAGCGACAATCTACCCTCCCGTCTCTCTCGCCTATCAAAGGCAGGCCGTGTTGACCCACGTCTGGTGCAGTGGCGTTGCAAGCCACGAGGTGATGTTCTCTGTGGAGTCCACGGTCATGGCTACGGACGGGCAAAGTGCCTTCACGCAACATGTCTGTGACTCCACGGACTGCGAGATAAGACGCCTTGAAGCCACGTCATTGCTTCGTTATTCACCCTCAAGCACTCATTCCACAAACGCCATCAATGTCCAGTAAAAAAATCATCCTAACAGCAAAATAATACATTTTACAACTGGTTTTACATTTTTAATAGTGTTTTTGTTTGTCTGTTTCTTCTTTGTTGTTGACTCTTTAGCCTAGTGGCATAAACCTCTGAAATTTCACCACCGCTTCAGGTAGATGGAGATTTTTACCCTTTTCACCAGCTACTGTGGTCCCTTCCCATAGGTTGACAGAAACAACATTGCACACAACGGGAACCAACTGCCAAGTAACACCGTTGTCACGGAGCCAGCAAGGTACATGAGGTTGACCTTCCTCGTCACCAGCTGGGGAGGGGCGTACGATGCCGACCAAAACAGCTACATCGGCCAGTTTCTGTTCCAAGCTCAGGTTCGCCTTTTCGAGAAAAGCTCACAAAATTAACCTTAGTATGCCTTGTGTTTTACCAGTCAGTCGTTTTTAATTTAGATCTCGGTTTGCACAGAGCCTGCACTTTGAAACTTCTCCAACAACACGGCTGAGCAAGCCACGGCCCACGCAGCCGGGGGTTTGTATGCTTAAAGCCCTAGGGAAGGATGTAATATTTCCGCTCTGATTCGAGTACCGGCGTTACGTCTTGTTCAGGAAATTAATATTTGTCTGTCATCTTAAATATCACTTGAAATTCAACAGATGCCTACGTAGTTGGAGATCTGATGTCATGAAACATACTGCTTCGAATCTTGTTATTGTCTTATCAGCTTAACTTAAACTCTTAATCTGGCCACTATGCGTAAGAAAAGGAGATACTGTAACATACATTTCGAAGTTCGTTAAAGTTTGTTCGTGGATATGCAGACGGTTATTTCTTTACGGAAGCTGCATTGTACATGTACTTTATCTGTAAATTATGCACTGCTAACCTATACTGAGACATGCATCTTTGCTCCTTTGTTGACGACGGATACACACTGGTCAACCGGTTGCGGAGTGATACTGAATCTAAAGATATCAAAGATGTCTGTTTCATGTAAAAGGATTATTGTCTCTTTACTTTGTCCCCGAAACTGGATTTTTTCCTTCTCAAATCCACGATAGTTTTTCTTTATCAAGTGGCGTATTTCTCTGGTATTTGGAAGAAGAATTAGTTATGATTAGTGAATAAATGGAATTTTCACAAACAGAAATGTTGGCCTTTTTGGTGTTACGGTTGCGATCTCCATATGCATAAATCATTCGAGGGTAGGGCTTTGGTTGTATATAAACGTAGTGTTTTAGTAACTGATAAATACACCTAGAAGCAGGGACACGAGGATTATACTTCACGCTACCTTTTCCCCTATAGTTATGCTGGAGAAAACATCTAAAAATGTTCGCCGCCGCTGCGCGGGGGGGGGGGTCGCTGGTATCACGCGCTGAACCAAGGCCAAGTGGTTTTGACATACGTGTTGGCATGTTTCGGCGCCCTTTTCTGCCAAAACGAACAATCTGCTGGTGCCTCTCGCAAGCGTCGCTTCACTCATGGAAAAAAATGACAAACCAGCAGAAAGCTGTCCATAAAGTACATACGCACGAAATGCCAACTGTTCAGACCCCCTTCCCCCGTACGCATGGCGTGCGCAGTGGCTCCACCCCCCGTAGGCGTACGCGTTCCACACATCTATTGATTCCTCAGGATTCCTTGTCACAATACATTGTACATCTACAGTTATTCACATTCTGAATAAATGATAAAAATAATAACAATTTTTTTATATTGGAATATATTTATTAACTTTATGGCTGGTTCGACAAATTAGTGACGGCTTGTCCCCATGGTTCTCTTAGTTTACTGAAGGACCACTTTGATACGAGCCAAAAACAGATTCATTTAGTGTTGCAAAAAGGAGTTTATCCCTACAAATACGTAGACAGTTTCGAGACATTTAAAGAACTTCAGTTTCCGCCCATCGAAATATTTTACAGTGTCCTAAAACAAGAAATCATGGAATACTGTAACAACCTCGACTTCTTAACTTGTCGCGAGATGTTTTTAGTAGCGCTGAATTTTGAGTCTCAGTAACCGAACTCGAAGCAACCGTCCTGGCCCAAGTGCACGGACCATTGAGATTTAAAAGAAGTCTTTGTTGACAAACAGAGGTTGGTTAGGAATACGAGTTTCTTTTATTCTCAAAACTTCGCCTCATGCAAAGCTCCTTACAGTCGAACAGGGAGTTGGTGAGGAAAATCCTCCTGTTTGCTAACAAGTATTTCACCCCAGCAAAATACTTCACAAATCAAGTATTTTCTCAACATGAAAACACTTCACAGGTCTCATCAGACCTTAGCTCTCTGCTCGCGAAGTTCCAACTCGATTTCTCAACACATTTTCAGGGTTTTTATACTCTACAAATCTACTATATTAACATAGTTACTGAATATAAGTCACAAGTAAATTATGCAGTAAGGTTACATCACCCTGCTATATTAATGACTAATTCCATTGACCAATCAGAATAAAACCAAATGATGTAAACCAATGACTTATATCAATTTCTTACAAAAGTTCCACCCCTTCATTCCATGAAAAAAGGAAAGTTGTGGGTGCACTGGCCTCCGCCCCCACATTCCAAGTAGCTAACCAAGTTTTATCAACGGGTCAACTGGCTTTGGTGAACATCTGGTGTTTGACTAATTGACCACTACACTTTCTGGAAACCTGTTCCCAAAATCTCAACATTGTTACAAATACACTAAGGCAAAACAAGTTTTGGAAACTTTGGAATGCAAAAATCTGGGAGACTATCTTTTATTAGTTTTTGAAAACTTTAGATCATTGTGCGTTAAAAATATTACGGTTTAGATCCTGCAAATTATCTTACAGCGCCGGGCCATGAGTTTGGACGCTTTATTGAAAGAGTTTCAGGTCAAATTGGAGCTATACTGACGGACATAGACAGAGGCAGAATTTTGAACATTTGCACTTTAAAGTATTGTAAAGCCAACAATAAATACCTCACTGACTATGACTCTCACGCTACCCTCGTCGTGTATCATGTGTCTCGACACTGAAAACAATTTATACGGTTGGGCCATAAGTCAACCGTTGCCCGTCGCTGGTTTTGAATGGGTCCATCCAAACAACTTTACCCAAAAACATATTGTGTCGCTGGATCTAAGGTCAACGGAATATACTCTCGAAGTTGATCTCGATTACCTCCCAGACTTCACGACCATCACAACGATTATCCTCTAGCTCCAGAAAATATCAACATTTCGCAAGAATGGCTTCGCGACTACAAGACGGTTGTTGAAACGACCTACATAAAAAGTAACAAAAATTAACCGGCACGTTCTATCGTATGCAAAATAACAAGTGCATCTCAAGTTGGGATTAAAACTAGAAAGGGTTTACCAGGTCCTGAAATAAACTGTGAGATGAAATCACATATCGATAAAAATACCAAATTTAGAACTATGGCAAACTTGGACGTTGAGAAAGATTTCTTTAAAGTGATGAATAATTAGGTTTTTGGAAAAAGACTGAAAACGTGCTAAATAGAATAAACGGTCATCAGCTAAGGGACAACGAGGGGAGATTGTCTAACAAAACAATCAATGACCTTTAAACAGCGGCACATAAACTCTAAAAGCCACATTTTGTATACAGGATAAATTATCGTTGAGTCCTCTAGGCACTCAAGGCACATTTTAACCGACGAGATGAAAATAGCCTTTGGAGTTCGGAGGTAACTCTGTGTCTTCAACAAGAAAACAATTATTAATGAGCTGTGATGAGTTAAGCGATAAAAAAAGTTCTGTGGCGAGCTGCTTGGTGCTTTTACTGTAAGAAAGAAGAGATTTTGTTGTGGAGGGTAAGAGACTTGCTTCAGAATTTATACAAAACTGCTCCAACAAAAACAACCAAGACGAAAGAACAAAAACCACCAGGAGTGCCTTCACAGAAACGAGGGGAATGTCATCATCACCGGCTATAACAAACCCATCATGGAAAGTCTGCGTCTAACGAGCGTAGCAGCATCTTTGTCACCAGGTGACAGAGGAAATATCGTTGCACCACCCGGTTTTTACGATGTCGAGTTTGATTTCCTGTTAAACGCAATATCCGGTATCAGTTTTAAAGTACACCGTGAAAGTTAAGACGTCACGTTTACCGTGACTGCGTTCAACAGCGAGTAATGGCACAGCATTAAAAACGAGTAGCCCAGGCCTAAACCGGGGTGAAAACGTAGTTTTACGTTGTTTTTAACCTGAGGGTTCAACAATTTATTTTTATTTTAGGAGTGTGACTTCTTCTTGGTGACACACCAGACGGTGAAGGCCTCTACATGAACACTTCTATGGAATTAAAAAGGAAAAACAAACAGGGAATTAGAAGGTCCCTATTAAAACCAGCAACAATAAAACAAAGTAAAAACTGAAGGAATTAAAACCTAAAGCAAACAATGAAAAACAGATCAGAATTTTACCTTGCCTGTAGCACAGCCCGTTGTGTGGCAGCGGCGAGAGTAAGAAATCGAGTAGCGGTGTTGTTGGTTTTAATTTTTGGCATGAGTGAAGCGACGCGTGAGAGAGGTATAGGGCCTACCAGCAACTTGTTCGTTTTGGCGGAGACAGGGCGATATACCATGGCAAAACGAGCGTCTCGACCAATTGGCCTTGGCTTGGCACGTGATACCCGCAGCCCCCATCCCCTACAGGGGTGGTGAAAATGTTTTTAGAGAGTTAGGCGGATATGTGGAAAAAAATGTGGGGTTTTACGTAGAAGTACAAATTTTAGCAGAGTTCACTCTGAAAACCTCCTCTGTGGCATTTGACGGCCATGTTTTAAAATGGGCTAAAAGGTATAAGGGAATCGGAATGACATCCAGATATGTGTATTTAAAGTCAGATTCATTTTGCATCGTAAAAATGTCATTCATTGCCAAATTGGCTGGAAATATGGCCGCCATTTTGAAAACATGGCCGCAATATACTGCATTTGGCTCAAGGAATCTCCTATTGAAAAAGACTGAAGGGTACAACGGAATCTGCCATGAACGACATGCAGATAAAATGTACATGTGTATTGAAGAGTCAGGTTCATTTTTCAAAATGACTGAAAATATGGCGGCTATTTTTAAAATGGTTGTTGAGTTGATAACATGCTAATGCTAATACGAGCTTGAACAAAACAGTATGATTGGTATACAACATGAAGTACAGTAGCGACACCAAGGAGTTGATTTCAAAGATTCCTTTCTGGATTTACACTCCCCTTAGCATACATTTACAAGTGAAATTTACAGTGAATTAGCTCTTTTGGTGAATTGATGGCCTCTGATATGGTTTTCCACATCGGTTTGCACTTCGGTGAATCAAGCCATTCCCCAGTTTTCAATTCATGCATTGCTTCAGTAACGGCCGTCTTAATACGGGCGATTCACAACAGTGCGCTTTCAAGAGTTTTCAACGCGTTGACCAATCACAATGCACAAAATCTGTCGACCCTTTCCAAACGCGCAGATTTCGCGCATTGTGATTGGCCACTGCGTTCCAAACTCTTGAAAACGCACACAACTGTGAAACGCCCGTATTTTGTACACAGCCCTTTTGAAGTGCTGTACACATTAAAATGCAGCACAAATGGGATGGTTGGCATCCACATTTCTGCATTAATTTCGTGGGCGAACTCTTTTCGTTACGTTTGTTGTGTACACCTACGAGTTAATGTTACCAGACAAGGACAGTGAATCTCTCAAGGTCAGCAGATCCTGTGTCGTGGCTTAAGTACGTGGCCTTTACATTTTTCACGCAATTGCCACGTTTCCCATGGATGTATTTGTTCATTTGGTGCTGAAAACAAAGACTGTTAGAGCCAGTGAAGCCCCGAAGAACAGAAGATCTACTTTCGATTTGTTGGGCCTGAGGGGTACCGATACTATACTGTCATGGATAGGAATGTAGATGAAATAATTGCTTGTCCCAAATGCTATCCACAGCATCTGAATCAGACATATGGCTGCTGTTTCTTACTTATAGTCAAATTTGGGTCTTTGTCTCTGCCTGTGGTATCAACCAAAAAAATTGGCAGGGCCTTTCATTTTTGAGGGCCAACAAAAATACCTGCAGTGCTATAAAACACTACACACACAAACGTTTGAGCTCCCTAATTTTCATTTTCACCAATTGATACCAATACATGTTTTATGTACACAAGATCCACCATGTACATGTACAACATGATGTTGTGCATGTACAACATTTACGTGTGTCTGGTTCGTAAGTGACTTCGTTATACCCACGTAAGGCCTAGCGCAGCTGATAGCAGTCACCCATTGGACGAACGCCAAAGTTGCGCGTTGACTTCAGGTTCCATAGTTCCATGTAACTCTATGTGCAGTGGGCGTGGTTTAAACTGAAGTGACGTCACACTTACGAACTGGATAGTGTACGTTCGTTTATATTCCATGGTTATGGGCAGTAGTAAAAAAAACTGCATGTCCATTTCCAAGGGAAGTATTCATAAGGCAAACAACTCACCCTTATTTGGATCATTTCTCGGAAATAGTTGGAGGTTTTCTGGTGGATTGTCCAACCCAGCAACTCTTCCCCTGATACCTAGACAGCTGAGAAAGTCAGAGACATGGTTAAAGTGAAAGAGGGAATAGGAAGCCCATTCCTTTGGAAGTCCACAAACTTGTTGAAATCTAAGTTGATACACTATCGCCTATTCGGGTATAGTGACATCAGTTTAAGTCAAGCAGGACACAGGGCAAACAAGAGTACAAGATATGTGATCCTAGACCACTTTTAAACTATCAAAACCTCTATTAGGTCTAATCAAGAAGAACAGTGTTATTGTCTTATCCTCCAGAAAAGAGGTCCAATGAAACCTTGGAGATGTCTTAAAAATAATTGTTCTTCATTTTCACCGTTAAGCTTACATCGCATGCCAGTCACATAATGGTAATCGTTATGACTTTTTTCAACAGAACAGCTCGAAGTCTCAAGCCAGAACCAAACGTGGGCAAGCTATTAGGAGTAGAGTTGCTGGGTCTAACAATCTCCTTGAAAACTGCAACAGTTTCTGACAAGTCATGGAAATAAGAGTGCTTTGGGGCCTTCTAAGACACCCGATTACAAATCTGGGAATGGAGGGTTACTCCTACTTTTAACATGCACTGTGTAAATCTTCCTTTTCACATCAGTCGTCTAACCCCTGGCCATGAGGACACTAAGCCATGATACCTGTGGCAACAGCAAGCAAACTTGAGATCCGAGAGCTGTGGATAGCGTTTTGGACCAGCAAACATCTCAGATACATTTCTCCGCATGAGTCCTCGCTGCGTTTCTTCGGCCAAGCAAAGGCAAGTATGTTCACGATCATATTTAAATACTGCAATAATGGACAAGAAATGTTCAGCTACGATGGCAGACCCGTGGTTGCCATCCAACTTTTGCTCCATTAGTGCAGCACATCAAAAAGGCCGTATAAAAAGGTGGTCATTGCTGGGCGTGAACCACAAGCATTAGATTATTGTCCCTGAGCGGTTTTTGCCCCCTGGCAACGGGGCTTGGATACTCACTCAACAGTAATCTATTAAATGTGAGCGACCCTACCAGAAGTCAGCTATTCACTGAGGGAGTTAATTCGTTCTGGATGCAAGTTGTGAAAACGTTTGCGGGGGTGGTGCAAACACAGACAGGCATCTTTGAAATTAGCTAGTTTGAGTCACTGTATATTGCACTATCTGCTGTAGTATAAAACTTTTAATCTTGTTTAAGGTCTCATTAACACGTTATCAACTCAAATTCTGAACTGCCTGTGTTATATTTTTCCAGAATCATCCTAAGATTTTTTATAAACACCATTCTGTCAACAATTCTGATGTTTATGTGTCTCAATTTTCCTCACATAATTGAACTATGCACACATTTTGTCTACACCAAAACATAGGGTTTGACCATCTTTTTTGTAAAAATGGCCACCATATTAAAAAAAAAACCCGTTTTTTTGTGATTAAAGGTTTTCTAAATTAACATATTAACATATTTAGTAGGGATACACTTTTACTTCCACCTCTACCCTTGCAAAGATTTGTACTAAAATAATAGGTCCACCCTGCCAAATGTGGTACTTGGTGGCCATTTTGAAAATGACCACCATATATCCAGCCATTAGTACAATGAAAAATGAACCTAACTCTTTAATATTCATGTACATAATTATCTGCATGTCATTCACATTCCCTTGTACCTTTAGCTTTACTGTACAGTTGTGCCAAATATGGTGTTTGGAGGCCATATTTCCAGCCATTTTTGCAATAAATGACATTTATATAATGCACATGAATCTGACTTTTCAATATACATACCTGCAGTGGATGTCATTCGGATTCTCTTCCTTGCGTCAAATACGGTATTTAGGGGCCATTTATCAAAATGGCCGTCAAAGGCCACAGAGAACGTTTTCAGAGTGGCTCCCCTTCTCAAAACATCAGCTATTTCATAGTCCTGAACGATGCCAAAATTCGTGTTTATACGTAAAACCCACAATTCGCTGATATTTGACCGAAATCGACCTGCACTGTCTCTAGTTATAACTGTTAAAGTACAACCTTATGCAGGCGTCATAGTAGTAAGTAAACATGCATTACATACGCAGCATTGATCAAAAGTGACAGCCTTAATAATAATTAACATGAATCCTTAGGTAGCTAATCCAATTAATTACTGGTCGCACAAAAGCTAATTACACGATGTTGTTGCTGTTACGACGAGCTGTATGTCAGGTGAACACGTAATTGAGCGAGGGACGTCATGGGCCGTGGTTATACAGGAGACTATGAATGGACTGAACACCCCCTCCAAACAAGCTCCGAATGATGACCCGATAAACATGTCACACAGGCATGAAAATTGAAATAAAGGATTTGGGAGAATTGTTTTGATAATCCGAAATGCAGTATCAAACCGTTCCCGGAATAAAATGTTAAGATTATATATATTTTCCCTATATCAGGTCGCTGTATCCAGAAATGACTTTGTCTTTCATTTCATGTATTATTTTTCAGGTATCAAGACGGAGACGACTAAACAAAGACATGGGACATAGCAAAATACACAGTACAACGAGCTGGTAACAACGCGGAGGGATTGCCAAGAAACGAACTTAACCACCATCGTGAGGCTCTTCTAAGATATTATCAGGAAAAAAAATAACATATGAACTTGGAATCATAACGTACATCATAATAGTGTTGCACGACAGTAGGCCATAGGTTATGCCCCGCCTCCTTGTTGGTTACGTTTCACGGGGATTGTTGGGGAAATGTAATGAGGAGGAATGGGAAGAGATGTATGTATAGCGGCTCCAATAAACTACGGAGGCTCCGAGCATTGACAAAGACCAACAAAATACTTGACACTATAAAAAAAATTATAAAAATGCTTTTCCCGAATTCATCAGTGAATTATGTAATCACTAGCAATATCTTGTGGAGTACGAAGACCTAAGCTGCTGTGTGGTCAGACACTTTTTTATATGCTGTCTTTGCCAAAATTGTTCTGAAAAGCGTTAACCATGTAAATGGTCTGCTGCGCTTACCATCGATCCGAATTTTTATGAGCCAGACGATTTTCACAAACACGTCCTTGCACAACTTACGCGGTATAATCCTCTCATTATCTACTGAATGCCTGTCATATATTCCACCTTTATATTTCTTTATTTCCTCCCTAACAATGTCCACAGAATGTGTACAAAAAGGGGCGGTGCATACCCGTACTGCCGGGCAGCACGACCAATCTTTGCGTACCCCCTTCCATAAGCTTTCATAAAAAGGAGACCTTCTTTGAATTAGCCATGCCTAAACTTTAGTTTGGGTTCTATCTTGTTTTAGGAATTATTGCACATTTCTGGTTTGTTCCTATTTTCACAAAGTGAAACATTTATACACCCAAAACTGTATTTAAACAGCCTTGTAATTAGCTCTCGAGACGGTATTCACATATCACGACCACGTGATCTGTCATTCTATTTGAATGCCTTTAAGAAAGTAATGTGTCTTTTTGAAGTCTTTTCATTTTAGCTCAACCTCACCAATGTCCCTATATTCGGGTTCTGCCCGAACGTAATACGTAGCCTGCACTACGATGATCCTTCCAACCTGACGTGTTTGGCATAAATTTTACCCGCAAACCCCACTATCCAATTTAAACGGTTACCAGTCAATGCGAGTGATGTGTGACGTTACCATCATAGACTAATGAACGATCGATGGTTTGGAATTTCCGTGTGTCGCGAAGGCTGGCCAGCGCTATTGGCTGCTCTCCCCCGTCATCACCCAACTTATTACGGTGAATAGAGAACATCGCAGTTATAAAAGAGATACACGCTCTCCAAGTTGATTTAGTCACGTCAGGATAGCTTAATGTGCTTTAGAATAGAGCAGGAAAACCTGAAATTACACGAAGAATTCTTCGAAATTCTCTCTTTTAGGAAAAATGCTGGCAGCATCATTGTTCCTCTTGTACGCTGTAACAGGAGGGTTCTATTATCCTGTTTGCAGTGAGCCACATTCTGCATTTCCTTACAGCATCTTACTAGTTGCCGAGGGACAAGACAGTGACCAAGCGGCCACGCTGTTCTGGGCCGTTGATTTTGAGAAGGAGACGGTCGACTTCAGATTGAGCGTTCCGCTGATATATGGCGGCACACTGAGGGAAAACGGAGAATGGTTTGCGTTTGGAATGTCTCCTGATGGGACACTCAGCAACGCGGATCTCGTTGTGTTTGAATTTCCACAAGGGGAACTCAAACTTACGGTGAGTTTTGTTGTAAATCCAGTGGGAGTTAGTTTCATTGTTTTTTTTTTCACTTGCGCCATTAAATCTACAGTCGTATAGTGTAATGAAGGTAGTACTTTTCAAGTTTACGATGTTTGTTCAAAATAAATAAAGTGAAAATAAAAAACTGAAATCGAGAGCACCAGCAGGCTTTTTAACGTAGTTTTACGGTAGAAGAAAGAGTAAAATAATAATGGTCTTAAAACCAATCAGGAGCAATTGCAATGTTACTAAGTAAAAGAATTGACGGGGATTTAAAATGATGCAAACCCCAAACTGTTTAATAAACTACACGATTGAGAAATGCCTGTTACTTTTTTTTTTCTAAACAAATTCTAATTGTGTCTTTGACTATACTTCACTTGGTTGAAATGTAAAAGACAATCCAAAACTTAAGATATTCAGCCAACGAAAACAGTATTTTTTTCTTGGAAGCAGCAGCATACAGTTCAACTATTAAGACACACAACAGACAGCCTAAAGCTAACCAAATCGATGCAGAATTGTCACCTAATCTGACATATCACGTCCCGTGCGATCGGCAATACAAAGCTCACATAATTTTTCCCCTCTGTGAAATACACCATAGATGTTGTATAGGGTGTCTGTCGTCCGTCTGCAGTTTCGACGGAGCGCCGTTTGCTGGCGGCTCATTATTTGCGGTCGTGATTATGAAATGAGCAAAATTCAGGGTTTTTGTCATTTTTGGCTGTTGATTTAGAAAACATACCGGTAATGATGTACAGAAGCCTGTACAGAAGGCTTGTGAGAGGGGATACGAGCAAGAAAAATACCATGAAATAATCATGGAACAGGAAATCGGAAGAATGAGTTAAAATAGAAAAGAGCCAATACAAGATCTTGAAAGGGAAGACGAGCCATTGGGCTATTAGGATGTGAATTTATACTCTCTTTCATCATTAAAACCTTGCTCCTTTTGTGGAGAAAGACATGACTCCAGTGGACTCCCCCAGGATCTGCCATTAGCCTGTCGGTCGACTTCCTCACTCAACAAATAAAATTATATTTCTTTAGTGAAAAAGTACGGAGCTATCATTGTGTACAAACAGGAAAAAGTGGATCGAATTATGAAGCATTTAAAAAGAACAGAAACTGTTATGAGCATAACCATTAATTAACTCTTGTACCAAAATGTGATTTTTGTGCTTTTTCTGGGCCCAAGGAAGCGTACACGGACGACACGGGTGAAGTACACGAGGATGGGAACGATCATGACTACGTGCTCCTCGGGTGGAGGGTTTCACCTGGAGTGGGTGGAAACGACGAGTCCCCCGCCCACCTGGAGGTTGAGTTCCGGAGAAAATTCGACACCTGCGATCGTCACGACTATCTTATCGATGTACATTGTATTGTATAAATATGATATGATGATGCATTGCTTGAAGCAATACGGGCGATTCACAATTATGCGAATCCAAGAGTTTGCAACGCGTTGGCCAATCGCAACGCGCAAAATCTGTCGACCCTTTCCAAACGCGCATTGAGTCGACAGATTTCCTGCATTGCGATTGACCAATGCATTGCAAACTCTTGGAGGCGCACTATTGTGAATCGCTTGTATTGTTTTTGATTGTAATAACTGCTACATATGCGGAAATTATTGCAACATCTACCATAAAAGTTTCAATTCATGTGTCTGTAATCATATCATGCCATGCGCCCCATACTCAAAAAAGAATAGAAAATCTATCTGTTTGCACCACGCCGATATTTCTAAAACAATACGAGCTTTTCACAATAGTGCGCCACCAGGAGTTTGCAACGCGTTGGCCAATAACAGTGCTCGAAATCTGTCGACCAAATGCGCGTTTGGAAAGGGTGGACAGATTTTGCATCTTGTGATTGGCCAACGCGTTGCAAACTCTTGGAGGCGCACTATTGTGAAACGGCCATATTCCCTGTAGGCTTCTTACTGAAAAAGAAGTGAAAGCCATGCAGTGGAAGTCCTTGCTCAGCTTGGTCTTGGAATCGCATTTCACCCGCGGCCAATTCTCGAAATGTGAGTTACTCTTGTCGAGCTCTTCTCCCTCAGATGTATTTCGTGTATAGCCAACAGACAGACAAACTATATCACAGCCTTTCCGACGGATGGGAAAAAGAAAACTATTTTATGGGAAATTTAAAATAAACGTATCACATAACTAGTTCCATAGGAAAGAAGTTCCACTTAAAACATTATCATTCAGCAAAAATTTTGTCGGTTTAAATGTCGTCTATTGTAGCCCAAAGTACAAAATTCACAAGAACCATAAAGAACTCGAACTACCATCAACTCTTTTTGTTCGTCCTGCAGAGTGGAACAGTGAATTTATTCTATCTACGGGGAAGCCACTCCAGCATTTCCTCCGGGTACATTGACCCGCGCGAAGCAGAAATTGCTTTCCAACGTGCTCAACTTTTGAAGAGTACAAGGCGTACTCCTCCGTTGCCACCCAATGTGAAGACAGCCGACATCGTCATGCACAATGTGAGTATCGGCAAATAAAAGGTTTTAAAACTGAACAAGTAAAACTGATGCCAAAGAAATCACTTTGTTGTCAGATATTGACAAATAACGCTCATTTATTACAAACTCGGTTGTTTTGCCACATTCGGTTGCGATAAATTTGGTTCAACTTGTTATGTACATGCGTATCTTACTTGGGTCCAAAGATTTGATTCAAGTCACGATTTATCAATACAGAAACCAGCCACATCAAATTATACAGCTTCGTGCGGCACCTGTAGTTACACATTTAATTTAGTATTCTTCCTTCTTTGCTTGGGGATATTTCCACGGGAATTGAAATTAGGGAGCGAGCGAGAGTCAACTTTGTCTTTCAAGTTGAGCCTCACTAAACTGAACAAACTACATGGGCGGGCGTCTTTCAACATAGCCAATAAAGAAGAGCTTTTTTGTCTTGACTGGTCATGCAGCCAATTGCACTTGCAGGACGAAGAGAATTGATTGCCTTCTGTAGTCATTTCACAATTCAAATGCAACACCTAAATCATATTCGTGCTTCAAACGACAGCGAAGTACACGTACATTGATTTTCACCTGTCAGCTGTGAGCAGTACAGTCAACATTGAAATAACCCTTGCCGGCTAAGGGAAAAACGCGCTAAAACTGACGAACGCACAAATATGCCACAGGGAACAGGTAACTTTATCTTTCCGCTGAAACGGCGCCAACTTTGCATGCGTTAGATGTAGGGCCTAAAGAAGGTGAAGCATTTTGGAGACAAAATGATCGATTTAAGTTGCATTATTTATAAAAATTTAAGATAAAGGTACAATGGCTTGAGAGTTACATTTATTTGTCGAATGATAATGATTACATTTGCATTGTAAAAACATAATTGTTTTCATAATGGCGATGGTTATTTATTACTTATTACTTTTGTACAGACAGCAATACCAAATCAAGCTACGACGTATTGGTGCAGGGTGCAGAAATTCCCCGATATTGAGGAAGATCATCACATAATTCAGGTTGGCATTTTAATCGGAGAGGTTTATTATAATTCGTTTGGTCACTCATCATGCTAGTGTACACCACCCCCTTTGAACAAGTACGCTCTCATCTCTGTCGCTGTTACTTCTTGAAAAATGTAGTCGCTGACAGTTACAAAATTCAGAAATCATTGTTCGTACAGTGTCAAAAATCTTAAGCCTCTCGCGCAAAATTTGTCCAACGTTGCTTTTATCTGTAGTACGAAGCAGTGGTTACCCCTGGCAACGAGGGCATCGTGCACCACATGGAGGTATTCCACTGTATTCTCCCGGCCGGAGTCAAAGTACCAGACTACAATGGTGAATGTGAAGGCGAGGACCTACCTGCCGAGCTGGCATCGTGCAGACGGGTGATTGGCGCCTGGGCCATGGGGGCCAAGGTAGGACGCATTTCTGTTTTATGCATAAGCTGCAACCTTATGAAACTAATAACTTTGTATCAACTTCATTCTCGTCATTTATCCAAATTAGCGTGCTTAAGAGTTGATTGTGTATTTTGACAACTGCCCTCAGGCCTTCTTTTACCCCGAGGAGGTTGGTGTACCGATTGGTGGATCTAGCGTCTCATCGTACGTCGTGCTCCAAGTCCACTACAACAACCCCAGACTAAGAGAAGGTGAGGCGAGGCCCGGATAAGCTCCGTGTACTAACAGGAAAGGAAAAAAACATCTTCCGCAACATTTAGTCCCCATGATCTTGGTTGCCTTCCGAAGAAAACGACTGGTCAAGAAACTTTAATTCGTGGAAGAAAACGTAAGACTCAAATGGTAATTTCCTTTTGACTTAAATCGCATGTTGGCTATTTTTCCCCTCAAGGAGTTCTGGACAGTTCTGGGATTCGCTTTCACTACACGTCCTCACTAAGACCTTACGACGCAGGTATCTTGGAGATTGGAGCTACCTACTCGCCGAATCTTTCTATACCTCCAGAGTCGAATGCATTCTACGTTACAGGATATTGCTCCCCAGACTGTACAGACAAGGTGGGTTTCAGACCTAGAACCACGTGACCTTCCACAACCTCATAACGAGGTACTGCTCTTTGCAGTAGCAATCTCTCTTTTTCTTTAACTGATCGACCTCCAATCGTTAAAAGTGTTTAAACAAGATAGCCAAACTCCAACGACAAGATGGGCTAAACCAAAGACTACAATATGAGGCTATGCTTGTAATTAGAATGTTTATACTTGGTTGTGGGCCATATTTACAACTATCGTTATCCTGTTTGACGTCAGCTAAAATGCAAAAGCAAAAATGTGCATCGAACGTGATTCACTACTTTAAAGCGGTTATATTCACTGCACTGGTGCTCATTTTTTAATCTTGATGCTGTTATTTTTGGATGATAATTTGCACTACATAAATGTCCCGACAAAAGGAAAATAATTAAAGACAGGAC